GTATGTATGGATCACTTGGGTTGTTACCAACATCTGGTGAAAATTTCATGTCATTAGCACCTCTAGTAATATATTTACTGAGAAAAATGGTGACATGTTCAATACTTATTTTACCTGCTGTACATGAGGCCCCAAAACTATCCTGTTGTTCTGATTTTCCTCTTTGTTCAGGTCTCAAAGTTTTAAAGGGACTGGTTTTACAACCTGGACAGTAGAGTGTTTGTCCACTCTGCCTTCTCCCATTTTGGTTTTCTAACTACTGTGAAGCACACACTGACCTTTTTTTTCCTGTTTCCTGTTCTCTTCCCTACAGCTAAAAGGAAGGAGGGGTGGAGCCTATGCAGTGTGGGTAATAGGTTACTGTTTGACCCCTCTGTCTTCACYGACACTCATCATGAGTTAGCGAGCACTGAAGATCACCACCTTCTCATTCCTCAACATCTGGATCATCACTCTTCCTGCTTCATGAGCCAGCAAGAAGCGGCTGAGGTCCTCGCACTCTCYGAGCGCCTTCTCACGGCTTCTCATAAGGGTCAAGCCGAATGTGTGGTCCAGCTCATCAACAAAGGTGCAAAAGTAGCTGTCACCAAGGTCAGTATGTTCAGGCAAAAGACGTGGGTCAACAGGTTGAAACATTTGTCAACAAAGACTCAAGTAATTATGTTTTTCTTTAATTTTTCTGCAATATTTTCAACACAGCCTTCCAAGTTCTACTAAACCATCTTTAATTAATTAGTTTCACCGGTTCGATACCCCGTCCTACCGTTTCAGTCGTTGTGTCCTTGGGCAAGACACTTCACCCACCTTGCCTACTGATGGTAGTCAGAGGGGCCGRTGGCGCATTGTGGCAGCCCCGCCTCTGTCAGTGTGTCCCAGGGCAGCTGTGGCTACAATGTAGCTTACTATCACCAGTGTTTGAATGTGTGTGYGTAAATGAATGATGCATGGAAATTGTAAAGCGTTTTGGAGGGTCTCGAAAAGCGCTATATAAGACTAATGCAATATATATATTTCGGTCGTATCGAAATTGGTGTTTTTCGCAAAACATCAATGGAAACACTTTTTTCGCATCACAGGAGTCACGTGATCAACAACCGGCTGTTTCTACTGGTGAAAAAGACGATGATGAAGAAG